TTTCTAACAAAGATTCTTAGTGGTCCTCCTTTCAAGCTTTTTAGGATAACATGGATATTTCGAATTTTAACTTAACTGATCTTGTGAGTGTTTACGAATTGTTTTATATATAAATATCAAATAAAGCTTCACCTTTAAAGAGTGGCCAATGTGACTAATTAGTTTTGTTTGCACATGGATCACATTAGAGGGATTTAAATATGTGCTTCTAGCATGACTTAAATCACACTTTATCACTTAAAGCAACCCTAATAAAACAGTAAGAGCATATTTGTAGGCTTTGTAGAAATGTTGTTTGAAAAAAACTTTTACAAAAGTGTTGAATGATGAATTCATATAAATAAATCATAAATAATAAATAATAATTTTGAATTCATAAACTTGAAAGTAATTAAATTTCAATTCTAAAAATTATAGGTAACTTGTAATTTAAACTTGGAGACGACTAGAAGCTAAAAAATATATAATTTTTTTAAGTCAATTTTTTTAAAGAAAAAACTACATCTGACTTGTTTATGTTTTTTCCAGTTGAGAAGATTTTAGACAAGCTTAACCAAATAAGCACAAAAGTCCAAATGAAAAGTTGTTGTGGCACATGGTACTGAATTACTTCAAAATGGAGGATGGCGATAAGACTAACCCATGTCACAAAAATTAGGGACTAATGCTGGATTCCCTTGAAAAAATACCATGTTGTTTGGATCAAAAGCAGTAAAGAAAGATTTTCATTAAAAAATATTAAAAAAAAGAAAAAGAAGAGAAGGAAGAATTTTTTTTTGTTAACCTCGATATTTAATAATCACATTAGATCTCAACTAATCTGGTATCGAATCACGTCGGATCTTATTTAAAAAAACTTTCTCAACACTTATTGCTTCATTCATAAAACTTGAATTCGAGATCTTATTTAAGAAGAATTGAATTAATTTCACTCGAACTAACATATCGTTAGATAATTTCAATTTTTTTGAACTGAGGAATCCAATCCCTGCTGAGCCCGAAAGATTTCATTACTTTCTTTCAAAAAACAAGGAGGGAACCATTCTCAAAATT